TACAATGTTGACTTCCCACTGGAGAAAGTTGCTGTCTAGGCCCACTCTTGCCAGAGACCTGAACTTTACATTGGGCAAGTATATATGGTCATCCACAGCCTTGGGGCAAGTTTTTCATACTTTATACTTTTCTTAAAGTGAGTTCTGAATTAAAAGTCAAGAGTTCTGTTCCTGGTTCTGTCCCTAGCAAGCTGGGTGTCCACTGGACTTCAAATATTCTGTAAAGGCGACCATGTCCTCGCCTGTTAGAGAGAGAGAGAAAGAGAGAGAGAGAGAGAGAGAGAGAGAGAGAGAGAGAGAGAAAACTAGGCAAGTTTCTCCTACTGGAACTATAGCATTCTGGGCTTATTTCATCATTTCCTAAACTCATTGGAAGCCAGGCCTGAGACCTTCTTTAAGGCCCCAGGGCAGGGAGCACAAAGCACCTGGGCGGCAGGCCCTCAGTAAACATGCCCATCGATTGGCACGTGCAGTCTGGAAAACAGCCACTAAGGTAATGGATATTCATACTCAACACACCTTGCCTGGACCATAAAACCCAATGTGGCCCTTGTCGGTGTCTGCCCTTGCAGAAACCAGTGTCCCAGGACATCACCCATCGCCACCCCCCGCCCCCTGCATCCGCCACCCTCCTAACTAACCAGAACGCATAACTCAGCAACTTACAAGTTCAAAGACTTCCTAAGGGACTCGTTATAAAAGTTTTGAGGAACAGAGTCCAGTATCTGAAAGAGTGAGGATGTTGGGAAGCGCCCTGCTTCCTGTCCCCCAAGGATCACCCACTCCGGCCCGCGCCGCCCTCTGGGTCCCCGCACCCTCTTCACCGCACACCCGCCCGGCGGGCGCCGGAGTCCAGGTCCCAGGAGGGCGTCCGCCTGTACCTGGCGGGTAATAACGGAGCAGGAGGCTCTTGAGTTTCATTTTCTTGCTCCCGGACCCCTCACGGATCGGAGTCGTAGCCATGGAAACGGCCAAACAGCAGAGGGACGCCGGGGCGCATGCGCAGGCACCTGGCGCGCTCCGGGGGCGGGAGCTTGGGGCGGGGGTTCGCGGAGCGCTACCTGAGTCCAAGGCCCTGTAAGACCCCAGCATCTACCTCTGGGCTCCCAGGATGAACGGGGGCTCCAGGGTGCGGGGCCGGGCCAGCGCCCCTGCCCGCGTTCCCGCCACCTGAATCTGCATCCCTGTTTGCCTGGGGCAAGGTCCCCTCCTGGCCTTAGGAAGGGTGACCTCATAATGGCAGGTAAGCGACCACCACTGGGGCTGCGACCATTGGGTTCCAAAAAGCAGGGATGGGAGAAAAAAGCCCTGTGTCGTTTTCCATTCCTGGCTCCTCCACATGCCCTGCCCCTGTCCCCACAAAGGAAAAATGACTCAATGTAATAGCCTACATTTGCCGATGCAGTACCGTACACTGCGCTAAGTGTGTTATACGCCTGTATTCATAGTCTTAAGAAAAGTATGACTTATGCACCACTTATTACCACCCCATCTCAAGAAGGAGACAGCTGAGACTTAGAGATGAAGCCCTACCCCAGGTCTAGGTCTAGTGAGTGGTGGAGGGTGGGAAGGTGGTGTATCGAAAGCCTAAGCCTGTACTCTCAACTCCAGGTTTAAGAATTCCCAGGCCTCCTTTTGGCCTGTTCTTTTTGGCCAGCATCATCCCCTACCTGCCACCTGGAGGTTCCATCAGGAACGCTGTGGACAGGAAGAGTTGGACAGGCAGAGTGAGTGTCAATTTCCTTTAAGGAATTTGACTTCCCAAGTTCCAAAATCGGAATTTCCCAAACTTAAGCAATTCCTGTGTTATCTCATCTCCACATCTACAGTTTTTTCTGTCCTTTCAACTTCTCTAAATTGACTTACTGACTTGTTTTACTCCACATTTTAAAATGTAATTTAAAAGAAAATGATTGTCAATGCTGTAAATGAAAATTTCGTATTAATTTTCAATGAAGAGCAGCAGGTAACTGTAAAAATAAATGTGACTTTTTAAAATGCTAGTGAATTACTCTATACTATAGCCTACCAAATACTGGGAAACAAAGACCTTTCTCCTCTTCTTCCTCCTCCTCCTCCTCCTCCTCCTCCTCCTCCTCCTTCTTCTTCTTCTTCTTCTTCTTCATATATTTTCATTGATTTCGGAGCAGAAGGAAGAGGGAGAGGGATATAGAAACACCAATGGTGAGAGAGAATCATTGATTGGCTGCCTCCTGAGTGCTCCCTACTGGAGATCAAGCCCACAACCCTGGCATGTACCCTGACCAAGAATTGAACTGTGACCTACTGGTTCATGGGTCGCCGGCATTCAACCACTGAACCACATTGGCCGGCTTCCCTCCTCCTCCTCCTCCTCCTCCTCCTCCTCCTCCTCCTCCTCCTCCTCCTCTTCCTTCTCCTCCTTCTTCTTCCTTATAGAGAGGAAAAAATCAGCAACTATTTGAAATTTTCAAGACAGGCTAGCACCCAACTTAGCCTTATTACTTTATGAAGTCAGAAAACACTTGAGTTGTCCTACTCTGAGCCCATCTTTTCTTTGGAAAAGACAATAATGCTGAGATAGATAGAAGGCAGCAGGAAAGGAAGAAAACCAAATATGAGAGACATTGACTCCTTAAATGAAGCCATAGCATGAGTCCACAGGAGCTGAGCAAGGCAGTTGAGGACAGGACATTGGACATCACTCATCATAGAGTCACCAGATTTGGGAGCTGACTCAATGACATGTAACTCACTTGGAAGGTTGGAGAGATGATGGCAATGGGAAAGCCTTTGTCACTAAGTAATACAAATGGGCAGCACATAAAAATCATCTCTTGCCACCTGAAGCAAGCATTCACATTTGGGAACCAGGGATCCAGATGCAATCTAACACACCTTCTAGCTCAGATTTCCCTCTAATCATTAAGACTCTGGAAAAGGTCCAAGTACAGAGAGGCAAAGAGTTCATCTATAGAAACAAGGGATTATTTAGTAGATTTTGTTCACCCATGTTATTGCTTAAGTTTGTGTCATTTAAAATTAATGTCATTTGAAATTGGAAAAATAGTAACTTTACAGTGGAGAAGTCTGTTAGACACCATTTAACCACACAACCAGATTTAACCTCACCAGTATTGGGACAAACTCACATCATCTCTCCTGTTACAATGCCTTGAAAAGGACACACCTGCCGGAAGCCGATTCCAGCATGTCAGCAGGGCTGAATCATCTGGAGTGGCAAGGGCATTTCCCCAAACCTGAAAAGGAATGATTGCTTGCTGCCAGACAGCTAAGGGCATCTTTTTTTTAAAAAAAAAAAATTATATATTTCTTTATTAATTTCAGAGAGGAAGGGAGAAGGAGAGATAGAAACATCAATGATGAGAGAGAATCATTGATCGGCTGCCTCCTGCACACCCCGCACTGGGGATCGAGGCCGCAACCCAGGCATGTGCCCTTGGCCGGAATCGAACCCAGGACCCTTCAGTCCACAGGCGGACACTCGATCCACTGAGCCAAGCCGGCCAGGGCATAAGGGCATCTTAATCTACATGTTATTGCCTCCTACTGGCCAAACACCTGAACAGCCGTAGGCAAATTCTTCCAATCTGACAATGTATACGAAACCTGACCCTTTGAAGTATATATCTACCTCACCTTAGGACAAATTGTGTTAATAAAAAGCAAGGGTTCCTGAGACGAGGAGATCTTAGTTTCTTTAGCTAGGCTCCTCTGACCCGCAAATGCCTTTCAAAATTATGCTTCGTCTCTGGACTCTGTTAAGTCACACACAGCCCTTCTTCAGATTGCTGAACCCTTCTAGATGCAGGAACAAGAACCCTGGCACACACCAATTCCCTGGAACTCCTGCCCAAAAGGCATTACCTGTCTGGAATCACAAGGAAACATCCGAGCAAACCAAGTAGGAAATAATTGTTCAAAATAACTGTCAAGGTCAAGAAAGAAAGGATAGGCTGAAAAACTACTCCAGGTTAAAGGACACTAAAGAGAGAGAGAAACTAAATGTACTGAGTAATCTTGGATCCTGAACCAGAAAAAAGTTTAGCTATAAAAAACATCACTAGGACAACTGGATGAAATATGAATAAGGATCATAGTTTATATTAGAATAATATTATAGAAATGTTAAATCTCCTAATTGTGGTTATTTATATTTTATGGTTATGTAAGAGAATGTTGTTTAAAAATAAAGTCCTCAGATTTATTTAGGGATAGATGGGTATGATATCTGCAATCAACTCCCAAATAGTTTTGAAAAAAATTATATTATGATGTGTGTTTGGGAGATGAAGTGTAATTTGATAGGTAGATTGATAAATCCAATGAGCAAAATGTTGACTCTAGAAAAAAAAAAAAGGTTTATTTTGAGGAGTTTCTTGTACTACTCTTGCAAATACTCCATAAGTTTGAAATTATTCCAAAATAAAAAGTGGTCTTGGTTTCCCATAGGCCAAGCCAGACTTTAAAATGTTATAGGTTATAGAAGACAATCAAACTATTTGGTTCCACTTCTGTTTGGTTAAGAGAATCCCAAGTTCAAGTTCATTTCCTATTTCACCTCCAAAATCCTCTAGTTATGGAACCAAGAGCCTCCATGATTGTTACCTACCCTTCCTCACTCCCTCCATTTCTGGGATTTCCAGTTCTTCTATGAACCAAACTCAGGAGCTGTCCTTTTACTTCTTAAAAAAAAAAAAAAAAAAGATTCCAGCTCTGCAGTTTGACATCTCTCCCTTGGCTCAAGGAGCTTAAGGCAAGCTGTCCCATATAAGTGGTTAGAGAGCTTCCTAACTACACCCCCATCATATCCAGAGCCCTCTTTCTTAACTCTGGGGCACAGACCCTTGGAGATGAGGTCTAATCTTCCCACAGCCTATGCACAGGAGAGGTAAGTAACTCTCACCTTTGTCTTTCCTTGAGAATTATTTACCTGGATGTCCAAGTACCCTGACTGTCCATTGTTTCCAAAGTTCTTCTCACAGTTTCTCCCAAGGACCTAGGCCCTCTCTACTAATAGGACTCCTAGTGTTCTAACTTACCAGACAGAATCCTGGTCACAAGTACCCAGTGAAAGTCCTCCATCCCCTTTTCTAGGAAAGCAGTGGGGTTGTATGCAAATGAAATGGTGACCCAAAGAGAAGCAAATAAAGTTCATGAGTGCCGGCAGATTTCTCTTTGGGCCTTGGCTTAAGTTGACGTTAATCTGTGCTTAGTTGATTCACTATTGACTCATTTCTGGAAGCTTCTGTGTGAATCTCTCAACTGAGTAATGATTATTTTATTCTGAATTGGCCCCAGTGCAGTTATGAATGATGTACAGACATCTGCAAAACCAAAACCCCTACTTTACCCAGGTGATGGGCACTCATCCCGTTGTGTGGTTAACTTAGTATGACTTCCTTACCAGGCTATTGTAAAGACCTTCCTAAAAGTTGTATAATACTTTTCACCTATTCATGACATTCTCTGTTGAATAGACCATTGACATACTCTATCAACAATTGCCATGCATATTGATTTGTACAGATAACTGGAATATTTGGCTCAGGATTTCTTCCTACTGAGACCTGCCTTAAACACCAGAAACTGAAAGATTAGTAGCATTAACTTTTCTCCCCAGGCCAATCCAATCTAGAGCATTGAAGCCACTCTGGGCTTCAGTTCTCACAGTGCATCCCTAGGCCAGCAGCACCGGTATCATCTTGTTAGAAATGCAAATCCTTGCCCCACCCCACCACCTACAGAATCAGAAATGCTGGTAGTGAGGTCCAACAATCCGTGTTTGAACAAGCTTTCCTGGTAATTCTAATGAATGATGAATTTTTAAAAACATTGCTGTAGTTTAATAGAGTAAATTGGGTTGGCCAGCACTGAGAGAAATTGAGTGCCCTTCCCCTATAATCCCCTTTCGTGTACTCTGAACAGTCTTCCCTGATTGCCAGGGGCAGTAAACTGGTTGCTCAGCCACATCTCAGGATGTGAATAAGACACAGAAACAACGTGGGAAGAAAGTGGAATTCTCTAGCTAATTGAGTTTTAGATGCTC